ATAAATAGTTTTGTTCCTTTGGGTCACAAAACATTAGCTATTTAAGATTTTTAACATATTTTGTACCATATTTCGCCCTTCCGGGCGTTTTATGATTTTATGCATTCTTAGTGAATATCATCACAAATTGTTACCTTGAGTACATGTTTTAGTTATTTCAAGCAACCAAATTGACTCGCATTAAAATACACCACAAATTAATCCCGACTAGAGTCCAAGTTTTTAAACTCTAGTCGGGTGCAGTATAGAGCAAGTGTTTAAATATCGACTCGGGCCGATCCATGCACCCCTACTTCAATCGCTTAAGTTGTTATCTAGCAAAACGGATTTCGGTTTTCAAACTAAGAAAACTATAAACTAAACAAGCAAAGAAAAGTAAATAAAAGAAAAGTCTAACTAAGGGAGCTTCACCCAGCAGCTGCTTCCCCCTAACTAGCTACCAAGACTCGATGGATTGGAATGATTGGTTTGGGCAAGGTAACCGCAAACCGCAGAGGGATGCATATATGGTCAGAGACCACAATCTCAATTGCTAAACAGAGGTAAACATTAAAGGCCGTGTCACTCGACCCTCTCGGTTTAGGAAATCGGTAGTTTACTTACTCCCTCACTCAACTCAAAGGTCGGACAGCTTAATCTCGATTAACCGATTTGCTTAATTCAACATTGAGGGTTGTCCTAAATTAACCTAGTTAGGTGGCTTAAAAAGCTGAAGGAAAACCAACTCGATTGAGTCTCCCTTGGAAGGGGGGTTTTCCTCTCTAAGCTAGATTAAGGTGGCTAATTAGATTGCTAGCATCAACATGCACAAATCTAAGGATGTTAAGCACAAAACATGCACAACCCTTAGATTGCTAAGCACAAGCATGCACAATCAACATGAATAATACCTCAATCATTGAATTAAACAATGCCCAATGACAATCATTCAATCTAAACAAGTAATTACAAAGTATTAGTTAGGGATATACAACACCCAAGAGAAAAGAGTGAGTTTCTAGAGAGAGAGAGAGGGATTACAAATTTGAGCTCAAGATCTTCTTCTTCTTCTAGGCTTGAATCTTCCACCAAGCCTCGAATGATGCTCCAAGATCACTCTAGCACTCTCTCTCTCACTAGAACTCCCCTTTGGTCTTTAGGTTGAAACCCTAGAGAAAGAAAGTGTTTCTTCTCCAAAAACCCGCTCCCCTTTCTCTCTCCCCGCTGATGTCTTCATATTTGCCCGAAAGTGACCAGTTAACGGACGCGTTGGCCAGTTCACGGCCGTGAACACCTAAACGCATTCGTGAACTCAGCGTCGTCCGAAACGCACCGCTTCAATGTTCTGGCTTCACGGTCAATGGCCACAGTTCACGGTCTTAGAGACCGTGAACTGCCGTGTCATCAGTAACTTCAGGAACCTCACTGGACGTCTCGGTATTCACGGTTTGTAGTCGAAGTTCACGGTCTCTGCCTCGTCCGGCCGTGAACTGCGGCTGTTTCCTGGGACGCCTTCACTTCGGTTTTTGCACTTTTTTACCTCCAAATATCCCAAAACTCGTCCTCGACCCTTCCACACGTGCTAGGACCTGAAATGTATCTAAACAAGCACAACCTAGCGTGAAATATATCGAGGAACGATGAAATTCTAAGCTAAATGAATAAGAAATGAGGGATAAAATGTGTACATTTGGGCCCGAATCACAAACATAAGCTCTCTGTAAGGTTTTACTTATTTTGTATAATAAGTGAATTTTGCCAATATTATACTTTATAAAGACATATTAAAAAGAACAATGAGAGTATGTCAAAATTAAGACAAATAATGATGAAATTATCACATTAAATTATGCATCAATAAAATGAAAGAATTTAACGACATAATAAAACATAATAAAAGAAACAATAATTAATTTTCAAATCATAAGATTGCAATTTTGAAAATTAAATAAAATTTATTTGTAATACGATTATCACTAACTAGGGAATTATAATTACCTTCAGTAAAAAATAATAATATATGTGTGTTTCATTACACATTTCAATGTACGATGAGTGTGATACGATATTGTAACTTTGATAGTGCAATTGTCTTGTCATCCTTATTTATAATTCTATTTTTGTCCTCTTCTCTGACTTCTAGTGAAAAGTCCAAACAATACAATGTTTTTATCCATTCACTTATGGGAATAGTTTGTTTCATTCACTTATAGGATTGCAAAAAACTTCTCTTGAAACCAAATTAATTAATTAATTTATTTTTTCTTAAGTACAATATTGTTTGAGGGATAAGATATAAACTTATAATACATATTTGTTTTGAATTTTTATATAAATATCACCCAAAAACTAAACAGTTAAAAAAATAGCGCCATTTTCCAAAATTTTCTATCAATACCACCCTTTCCCAAGGACCGCAGGCCTTATGACAATTTATAAGAAAAACCATAGAGGTTGATGCGGTTTTCATTTTGTAAAATAATCACAGGCGGTAGCCCCTGTTATCTGGCAGAACGTCGCACCCGACACCGCAGTTTGCATAATTTTTTTCTGATGAATGTCTTACCTAGGTGAAACTTCAAATGAACGTAACTTTGACCTCGGATATCCGATTGTAGCGAATTTTTTTATTTCGCATAGTTGTTTGAGATCTTGCAAGCTCCAAACTATGTGGAATAAAAAAAGTTTTTGCTACAATCGGATAACCGAGCACAAAGTTACGTTCGTTTGAAGTTTCGGCATAGGTAAGGCATTTAGGTGAGCGCAAAGTATTCGGAAATATCAAATTCTGTTGGGCTTTTATACTTTTTTTTTAGGTTCATTAGGTTTTTGGGGGGTTGGTTTTTCGAGTTATCTTGCCATGGAAAAAAATATTCTAAGCAAACCGCGGGGGTGCGGCGGTTTGCTCCGGATCGCTAAGGTGGCGCACCGCGCACGGTCAATCTGACTGTGGCAACCCAATGATGTTGTTGGCTGTAGAAACGAAAACTGCAGAAGCCCCTTGCGGTCCTTGTATAGACCACATAAGGGATGCGATTTTGGGAAGGGTGGTATGGATGAAAATTTTCGGGAGTGAGTGGTATTTCTGGAATTTTTTGGTGGTATTTCTAGGAAAATTCCAATTTCTTTTTCCATAATATTGCTAATATATGAGCACATTTGAATTTATTTTCTCTTTGATTCTTGGTAGAATAAAGTCGTTTGCGTACAATGAGTACAAGACAAACACATTTTTCTTTAGCGTTTGTAACATACATTTCTGATATTCTTTTTACAATGCCAACTTCTTTTCTTGCCTTACTTTCTTCAATTTCCACTTTTAGGGAATATATGAGCTCTTGGAACTTGCATTTTTTACATATCAATGCATGATTGATAATAATTGGATAATGCATAGAATTGAGAAATTAAATTATTAAGGTACTACTTAAGGGAAATTAAATTATCACTTATATTACTTTTCTAGTTATTGCTAGTACATGAGCAGGTTTTACTTTCTGATAATGTCAAAACATATATTTAATTTAAGAAATCAATATATATTAAAAATTTACAAAATAATATTAATCAAATTACACAACCAAAAATATTGATCCAAATAGATGTGCTTGGTAAAATATCAATGTATGATCTACTACGAGAAAAGAGTAGCATCCATTTTAATATATTGGGATGAGATAATCTCAACACCAATAAGACGATTGAGACATTAAATTTACTATAAAGATTAGCAAAATATTGACACTTATATAACTAAAAGAAACGTTAGATTGATAAAGTGTTAAGAAACCGATTGAGAATATAAACAAATACAAGAGAAGACTAGAGAGGAAATACACGAATAGAAGAGGAGAGGACTAGAGAGGAAAGACACGAATAGAAGAGAGGGGGAATAGTGCTTTTTTATTCATATTCTCTTTTAAGACAATGATGTGCTTTATTTATAGACACAATTTGGTAACTATTACATTCTAATATTAATACATATAAATGAGAGATAATGAAACATAAAAGACATTTCAAATGTAGGAAAAAAAGGATTACATAATTTACATGTAATTCTCAAGTGATAATCTAATGTAATAATCTAATAAGGTCAATAATCATCCATAATCAATATTTACATAATATGTCTTAAATATTTTGGGTTTGATTAGCTTTGAGAGTTCTTAGGTGTTCTTGCTATGTTTTAAAGTGTTTGACATATTACAGGGGAAGGTTTGATCGAAATTGTAAAAAAAAAAAAGAGGCTACAATGTGTTAAGATGTACTATAAGTAAAAAAAAAGGTCGGGTTTGACATATTACAGGGGAATGTTTGATCGAAATTGTAAAAAAAAAGAGGCTACAATGTGTTAAGATGTACTATAAGTAAAAAAAAAGGGGTCGGGCTACCTTGTATCACTCCTACGCTATCTATGAAAAAATGGGTCGGTCTAGTACTACAATTGAGCTTACAAAATCATACATCGCTAGTACTAACTTGTTCCCACAACAATCAAATTTTCTATCATAAGAAGAGTCCAAGGTAAATCTTACTCTCTCGACCCGCACAAATATGAGACGGATATTCTGAAATAGATATGAGTTTAGCGAAACATGACCATCATTAAAAACTAGAAAGTCTTAACATCTACACATAGTATACTATGATGATAAAATAAAAAATAATAATAGTAACCGGCCATGATTTTGGTGCCTATTTCCAAAGTCAATTCCACAAAATTAGAATAAAAGACTGCTTAACCAATAATTAATGAAATATATTCCAAAACACCACACTACTACCAAAGGATAAATATATAACGACATTCAACGAAGAGAAAAATATATAAAGACGAGAATGTCTAGTGAGTCTCCACACCTAACTCCCACTATTTCAAATAAATAATTATTAAAAGAAATTAATAAAAAAAAGATGGGAAATGACAGGCAGTCGGCCCGGGTCGGGCAGACTCGGGGCAAGCAGGCACAGAGAATAAAGCGAAATCTGGGTGGTTGGTCTTTCCACAAGAGGTTTTTTTTTTTTTTTTGTTGACAAGTTCAAAAGAGGTTTTGGGAGAGACCTCGAAACGAACTCTCGCTGACTCTCTCTACCGTGATTTTCTTCATAAAGTTCCCTCCATTGAAGGTACCGTTTCTTTCTCCTTCGAGCTTCGATCTGTCTAGGGTCTTGCCGCTCTATCTTTTCTCAAAATTTCGCGGCTTCGTTTCATCTTTAACTGAATTTCCTTGTTAAAAAAAAAATTTGAATTTGCTTGTGCTTTTGTCATTTCTTGGCCGGCTGGAGAATCAGTCGTTCTGGGGGGGGAGCTGAAATCGAGAAAAATGGGACTTTTACTTCTTTCTGACTTCCATCTTCGAGGTTTTAACTTTGTTTAGTTTCGATTTCCCCTGAATTTAGATGACCGAGTAGAATCTTACCCATTTTCGGGCTGCCTTTCGTGAAGGTAGAGTTCAGCTAGTTGACTGTTTTTAGGATTTGGGTGTTCTTTAATTGGTTGTGTTGGTTCAGGGACTGGGTGATTGTTCTCGTGATTGGTTCATTAATGGGTCGATAGGTAGATGAAGCTTTCCTGTTTTTGTGTCTGAACAAGCTGGTTCTAGTTGGGTTTCTCTTCATCTGAATCTATCTCGTGTTTCTTTCTGAAGTATGCTTAACATGGCGATGCTACTTTAGGAAGGATTTGAATTTCGGGAGTTGGCATGTAGACATGAGATGCTAGGCTAGCATCTTCCCATAAGTTGATCCTTGTTCGGTGGCTGGTGAGGGAAATATTTCTGTGCATAAGCTACTCTGTAGAATGGTATGAGAAGTCAATGCATCTTTTGTAAGATCAAATTCATTGATGTTCGATGCTGAGTTCCAAAAATAGGAAAATGAATGAAAGAAGAAATGCATCCGATATATCATATCGTGCACCTCTCTATCAGAGTTGTGGATACGCTAGAATTATAGTTGTGGATTATTGTTGCACATTGTCCATGGTGAAGTTGGTGGAGAAAACAATTGAACAAGTGGAACATGTTTTCTGTTAGGTCTGAAGTATGGATTTTGGAACCACAACCAATGTCTTCTTATATTACAAGTTATGTGTTTTATGACCCTTTAAGACCCTGTGGTTATCTATCCTATGCACACTCAGCTAGCTTTACCATATGGCTAATTGATTCAAGGTTTCGTCTCGCATTAGTTTCTAACATTAACCCGTTGGTTTTGTGCCTGTGTGCTGCAGACGGTTTTTTAGCTGCTAATTGATTTCAGTGTCATCAGTTTGACAAATTACCAACTAGAATCGTCCCTGCCCCCTCTCCCAAACTCTTTCTCTGGGCGGGTCTTTTGTTTATTTGAGTTCTATATTCTTTCTCGATGTTTGAAGTTTGTGGGTTAAGGGACTTGTGAACATTGTTTCTCAGGTCTTTGTTGGCTTGTCCTGCATTTACAGAAGTCCCGTCTTCTCTGTCAGAACAAGGAGCGTTGATGGTAGTTCATCTTGTGCACTAACTTACAAGCTTGTGGGGTTTGGTCAAGGAAGGTAAAGCCATACTATTATTATGATCTGACAATCACCTTCTGTGCGTACTATAGATGCTAATTATGGCATTCATGGGAAAAACTTTATCTATGCTTTCCCTATTTTCTCCTTGTACGCGCTGATGCCTCATGAGGCGATTCTGCATTAGGATGTAAGAGTTCACCGTTGTACCATATTCTCATACTCGTTTTCAGCATGTGGAATTATTTGTACCAAGTACGGCATGCTACCGTCGTCAACATTCAATTCCTCTTAAGGTTCACCCTATATTTATGCTAATTAATCTGTTTTGTTTCTTTGTTAGATACTCTGTGATTGTTCCAGTGACTTGTGGCTCTGATGGAGATATCTCTGTTAAAAGTGCTTCTCAATAATATCTCCTCCTTTTCTCATCTATCATCATTTGAGAATGTAATCTCTGGTCTGGTCCAGAAGTATTTTCAGAAGACAGAAGAGATACTGAAGCTTCTAAAGCCCATACTTGATTCTGTTGTTGATTGTGAAATAGCTTCCAATGAGATGCTTAATAAAGCCTTTGCAGAGCTGAGTCAATCTATCGATGAACTCAGGGAGCTCTTCGTAAACTGGCAGCCATTATCAAGCAAAGTATTTCTGGTGAGTTCCAATGCCTTCTCTTCTGTATTGAATAAATGGAAAATGGTCTCTTGAAATTGTTAAGTGGAGTAACTAAGCTGGCGTTGTAAATGATAACATCCTCATGGTTACTGCTGATAGCATGCTCATGGATAGTGCATCTTCAACTGAGATGTTTGATGTTAGTTTGTCTGAGACTTTTTTTTATCACTCACTAATTGTGATATGTCCGAAGGGAAAATGTAGTCTTTTGTGCTCCTATGTCAAGGGGTGTGTATGTCGGCTTGGGTGGGGTAGTGTTCGTACCATCCCCATGGATTTACTTACATGTGCTTGTGTAGGGGAGTGTTCTTGTTTTGCAGTGATCTTCTCTATTTTCTTTTGTATCTCCTCATATCCTCTAATTATAATTTATTAAAATTAATGCGCCAACTGTTGTATTCTACCCTATCTTACTAATTACTTATACTCATCATACAGGGAAGAAAATCACTGACCATCTGCCTATTCATCTTTGTGCTTTGTTATGTAGGTTCTTCAAACTGAACCATTGTTGTCAAAGATCCGAAGTTTGGGCCTGGAAATATTTCAGTTCTTGAAATCTGCCAATGAACATCTTCCTGAAGAATTGAGTTCGTCGTCTCTTGAGGTACCTTTCTCTTGTTACCCTCATCCAATCTCTTATTTGGTAAAATACTAGTTAGATGATATGGTTTGTCAGGTTGCAGTATACATCATGGATTTTTTTTTTTAAACTTGGTTGCAAAATAAACCATTCATGCTGCCATTGAGATGACAAGATTAAGTGCTTTGTTTCCTCATGATGTCCAATAACCTGGCACAACTCCCTGCAGTATTGCATACAAAAATTGAAGCAAATGGGAGTGGAAAATACGTCATCTACTGTTAAGGAGGGCTTAAAGGATCAAGAGGAAGGTGCTGGAACAACTGGCTCTGATATCTTAGTCAGAATTGCTGAGAGTCTCAGCTTAAGAACCAATCAGGAGATTCTTATCGAAGCAGTGGCACTTGAAAAATTGAAAGAGACTGCTGACCAGGCTGAAAAGAACGGGGAAGTTGAGTTTTTCGATCAACTCATTGCTCTTGTAACCAGGATGCACGATCGGCTTCTCCTCATCAAACAGTCCGAAACCAGCAGCCCAGTCCCTATACCACCTGATTTCTGCTGCCCTCTCTCACTTGAATTGATGACTGATCCAGTTATTGTGGCATCAGGGCAGACCTATGAACGGGCGTTTATAAAAAACTGGATTGAACTTGGACTCACTGTGTGCCCCAAGACACGGCATACTCTGGCTCACACTAATCTCATACCTAATTACACCGTGAAGGCCTTGATTGCAAATTGGTGTGAATTGAACAATGTTAAGCTGCCAGTTCCTGTGAAGTCTGTGCATCCCTCATCAGCAGAACCACCTCGTTCTCTGAGCTCGCCTGGCCCAATTTTGGTGTCGTCTAGTGGATTTCATAGAGATGGAAGTTCTCTGTTACATCCACGTTCAACTTCCGAGAGTTCTCTATCAGGCATAGTCGCAAATGGCCAGGATATAGATATTGCTCGTATATCACTGACCGGTTCTGAAGAAAGGTTTGCTAACTCAGAGGAAAGGATCATAGATTCTATTGCATCACCATCTAGAATGGAGGAAGTTTCAGATTCTGTTGTTGCAGCTGACGACTCCCCCCTTTCGAGGAGGAGCCATGGTAGAAGTGCCTCTGCTGCAAATGCAACTTCTCCTAGAAGATCATCTGGAGATGATGCTAGTGAGTCTTTGGAGGTGCCCAATCATCTTATTGCTTCATACAATAGCGACACATCTGGGGAAGTAAAATCTGAAATGCCACGGGTGGTTTCTTCTGCTGCTGCATCAAACAGCTCTCTTCACAGGGAACCCGAATTCTCGCCTCGTTTTGTTGAGACTCGATCTCGAAGTCAACCATTTTGGCGCCGCCCGTCTGATAGGCTTCTCCCACGGATAGTTTCTTCTCCTACGACTGAAACAAGAGCTGATCTCTCTGGCCTCGAAACCCAAGTCAAAAAGTTGGTTGAAGATTTGAATAGTGATTCTATTGATACGCAGAGAGAAGCAACAGGTCAGCTCAGATTACTTGCAAAACACAATATGGATAACCGGATTGTGATCTCCAACTGTGGGGCCATTACCTTGTTGGTCAACTTGCTCCGGTCAACTGACTTGAAGATTCAAGAAAATGCTGTCACAGCACTTTTAAACTTGTCGATCAACGATAACAATAAAACTGCGATTGCTAATGCTGAAGCCATTGAGCCTTTGATATATGTTCTTGAAACTGGAAGCCATGAAGCTAAAGAGAACTCAGCTGCTACACTCTTCAGCCTGTCAGTGATAGAGGAAAACAAGGTCAGGATTGGAAGGTCTGGAGCAATTGGACCACTGGTGGATTTGTTGGGGAATGGTACTCCGAGAGGGAAGAAGGACGCCGCAACAGCATTGTTTAATTTATCAATATTTCATGAGAACAAGGCTCGGATTGTTGCAGCTGGTGCCGTAAAGCATCTGGTGGAGTTGATGGACCCAGCAGCTGGAATGGTGGACAAAGCAGTCGCTGTTTTGGCGAACCTCGCAACGATCCCCGAGGGGAGAAATGCCATTGGTCAGCAAGGAGGGATCCCTGTTTTGGTGGAAGTTGTTGAGTTGGGTTCTGCCAGAGGGAAAGAGAACGCAGCTGCTGCTCTTTTGCAGCTTTGCACGAACAGTAACAGGTTCTGCAACAATGTGCTCCAAGAAGGTGCTGTGCCGCCATTAGTGGCGTTGTCACAGAATGGCACTCCCAGAGCTAAAGAGAAGGTACACATTTTTTTTTGGGGTGTGTTGGGCTTAAAAGCTAAAATAAGCTGACTGTTTTCATATAACTTCTGAAAACAAATATTCACAACTAACAAATAGGGCATCAAGCTCAACTGTTTCTAAATGCAACCAAACACACTTGGTGTCTTATGTCGATTGCCAAGGAATGCTTTTTAACATGATTTAGGGTTTTGGGATGATGGTTTGCAGGCGCAGTCACTCCTTAGCCACTTCAGGAACCAACGGCATGGAAACCCGGGTAGGAACTGATATGTTGAGTACAAGAGAGACAAAAAGGTGCCATTGGTCATTGCTGAGGTTTTTATTCTGGAAAAAAAAAACCATATACATAGTGTGTGTACATTTGTTGTCATGAAGGTGCAAATAACGCATATTAAGATTGAGGATCATCTACGTGATTTTGATTAGTTGTTTGTAGAGAGTAAACAAAATGGATATATGAGAGGACATGATTATGTCGTTTTTAGTGAAAGTGAAGTCGTTTCCTGTCAATTTGGGAAATGATTATATATCTCTACATTCATGTTTATCCTAGGATTAAAAGTAAAAACCCGAACCATGCCAGCGGTTCAACCGCTACAAACTGGTAATGATCAACAGAAGCAAAAAAAAAACCCCAGGCCAGTCGCTTTCTAGCGGATGAACCGTTGTACTTTGATATTTCGACTGGTTTAAATCAGACCGAGCAACTCGGAACAAAAAACAAAAAAACAAAAAATCGTTCTCCAACGTCAAGACTCCGCCGTTTTGATTTAGTTAGAGAAAAAAGGCAAACAATAATAGTACACAGCTGCTCTGTCAAATAGGGGTGTTCAAACGGATTGATTACCTTGGTAACCATATAAATTGGTAGCATTCAGTTAATTTGATTTGATTAATTTTGATTATTGATTTGATTTGGTTAAACAATTTAGCTTATTTGGTTTAGGTGGTTTGGTTTGGTTTCAACACTGCTAACCAATGAAACCAATTAACCAATTAATGATACGCCTAATATACAAAATTATTTATACTTTCATGCAACCAACCAAACCAAACTTTTGTGATTCCCTATTTTATTTCCAATTTTCCATGTGCACAACAAACCAAAACATTATGGATTACGTACAATACCATGACAACCACCTCAAACTATGTATAGTTTAAGTATTTTGTAGGAGAGCTTTAACTTCCTGATGAGGGGTATTGGTAATGTATTTATGTTAAGGAGTTTGTTGTAAGCTACCTATATTAGGTACAGAGATGATGAATGATGTATTAACTCGAATGACGATGATAACTATGGATGGTTAGTCTTATTATTAATGCTTATATAAAATGATAGTTTATGTTTGTTTTCATGTAATGTTATGCTATTTGGTTAATCCGATTAACCAACCAATTAAACTTTGGTTTGGTTAATTTGGTTTTCGTGTTAATTTGGACGGTTTGGTTAAGACATTTTATTTCATGGTTAATAAAATTTAGGCTTAATTGGTTTGGTTATTACCACGGTAACCATTTGAACACCCCCTACTGTCAGCCCACCAACCTATTTGTTATTTCTCTATTTATTGTTAGGTATAATTGCATAATAATTTCAGTATTAATCGGTAGTATTTGGCTAATTTTGTTTGGTTAATTTGGATAATTAGTTTGGTTTGGTTAAAATTTTTAGCTTGTTTGGTTTAGGTGGTTTGGTTTGATTTCAGACACTCCAAACCAATCTAACCAAATTAACCAATTAAGTAATTATCCATATATATCTAATATATATTATGAACACATACTTACTACTTGGCATAACCACTTAAGACCCAAAAATTCCTTTTTTTAGGCTCATCAACAATAAAACTCAATATTGTTCCTATACTGTATATTTGTATTTGTAGAGTGTAGACCATGATATATGAACGCCCAATTTAGATAAACTCGTACAATATATTAGATGAAAATCTGAAAGGAAAGTCTTTTTGAACCTATGATAATTGCTAATATACTAATTCAATTCACACAATCACAACAATTACTTAACTCCATACTATTGACATATATTTTTGTTAAGTGAATACTTCTATTGAATGTAAGATAATTGTATTAGTTAACTATAACTATGTGTTCATTGTAATGTTTATTCATCATTTAAATTGTGAATTGATGCGTTAACCAAAAAATTTCTCACTGAATTATAATGTGTTGTTATATTAGTGTGGTTAACCAATTAACCAAATTGATTAAATTTTAGTCTGGTTAATTTGATTGTTGTATTAGTTTGGACGGTTTGATTATGATATTATATTTCATAATTAATATTATTTTAACTTGTTTGGTTTGATAATTACTATGATAACCTTTTTTATAATAATAAAAAATTACTATGATAACCATTTAAACACTCCTATAAATTACTAGATTTCGGGAGGAAAAAATCCAAACAGAAAAGCGTGAACCCAATTGTTTAGAAGGTTCGAAAAATGGGGAAAGGCGAAATGAAATAAGGAAAACAAAAACAACTATCAAAATAAAGGGAAAGAAGTACAAGAAAAAGGAAAAATTACACAAAAAAAAAAGTTTCCAAATAGGAAAAAAGGAAAGTTTCAACCGCGGAACCGCCAAAAGAAATTGCTCTCTGGGGGAGCCTGGTTTTTCCGGTCTCGCTCCTGATATCACGTTTCGTACTCCACAAGTCTCTCTCTCTCCGACCCTCGACCACCGTGCTGGCTGAAGTGCAGCAATCGGACTCCGGCAGTTCAGCAGCCCAGCCGTCGATGAAGTTCTCCGTCGAATTCCGCCAGCTAAATGACCGCTCCAAGCCCTAGACTCTGCTAGGTAAGATCAAAATTGGTTCTCGTTTTCTGGTTTCTCTTGCATTACGGCTCGTGATAGTTTGAGAAGGGAGTACCTTTTCCCTTCGAGTATCGCCGAATCTAACTTCGAGAATCGTCAAGTTTTAACTTCTCTGCTCGCGTTTATGTCGAGAGTCCCTTCGATTTAAGAACTGTTTCAGAGGTTTTTTGTTTCTCTAAATCTTAATGTTGCTTCGATAAAGGTTTGGGGCTCCTGCTTCTTTTCATCGTCGAAAGAATCGAAGTTGAATGAGAAATTCTTTTCCATCAATCTTTTCTTCCCACTAATAAGAAATTAAATTTTCTTGTTCCTTCTTGTACAACTTAGAATGCGCAACATGTTAGCTGTTTGGTAATTGGATTCTTCCGCTGCAATATCGTCCCTTCTCAATTGAGTTAGTCTACAAGTTGTTTCCTTTGTTTGGTGGGTGTGTAATTGCCTGATTGTTCTGCTACTGCTGATTTGCTAGACAGTGAGTGGATCCTGTGGGCATGGACCCAGATTTGGAGATGAAAGATCAAATGAAGGTGGTAATGGAAGGCTTGCCTCAGAAAGAGTCTGCAAGCTTTCTGCAGCATGGCAATGAAAATTCTGTGCCTTGCTCAGATAAACTTGATGGCGGTTGCTTTCCCAAAGAAGATTTGTCCAAAAATAAAGCTGAGGTGCAGGAGACAACTGAGGATTTGGAAGTTAATACAGTTGATTGTTTGAATTCTCATGATCTTGGAGATGTGGAAACTGAAAACGATGACACCAGCGAGAGCATGAGTTCATTCAGCAGCACGTCTGATACAGAAAATGGCTTGATGTTGACTGATACTGAGGTTGAATCGTATATGTGCAGCGGTCGTCACTCAACTTCATTATTTGATAGCTATGGTGCAGAATCTCAATCTAGGTACTTACTATTAGAAAATCTTCAGTTCTCTGCTGATTTAGTTTTCAACAGTTGTCAGAAAGGAAAGTATTTGACATGAGTCACTGTTTTTAGATTGTATACCTTCCTCAGTTCGTATTATTGTGAGATTTATTGATTAGTATATAGCTGGGGAAAGATACTAGCATTGTTTCATCATTTTCTGACTACTTTTAAGAAGTTTCATTTCAATGGTGCATATGTTGACGAAATACATTATACAGGGATGCTTCATGCATCATGTTGCTATGTTGAAATTTCGAGGTGGGACTTTTCAGTTGCTCAGTTAGCTTGATGCATAGTCTTGGTTACTTCGCTTCAAAACTTGATAATGCCACTCGAATTTATGTTTTCCTTTCAAATTTTCCAGGAGGAAACGGTTAACCGAACATTGGAGGAGATTCATTCGTCCTCTTATGTGGCGATGTAAGTGGTTAGAATTGCAACTTAAGGAATTTCAATCGCAGGCACTGAAGTATGATAGAGAACTTGGAGATATCGAACAAAGGAAGACATATGATCATGAGACATTAGTAGCAGAAGGTCATGAAGCAAAGTCAAAACCTTTTTCTTCTTCGAACCCAAGGATGAAAGTTTTGAAGAGAAAGAAAAGAAAGAGATATGAAGAGATGAATGATATGTGATGAGAGTAGTAACGAGCCTCGCAGGTCCGGCCGTCTTCGTCGAGTTGGGCCATGCAGCCCATGCAACCCGGCCGGCCCATACAGTGGCTAAGAGGAAGCAACGTAGAGAACTGAGTCGCTGCCTTCAACGTCGGAAGTTAGGATTTTATCTTTTCGGATTCCGCTGCGTCGGATTTGTTAGTTGCATTTGATTTTATTTGATTGTTTGGTTGATTTGTTTTGATCGGGAATATCTTGATCTGTGGACGTCGGTTAGGTTGTAGCTTCTATATAAAGGAGCTTAATGGAATAAATGAAGGCAAGCAATTATTCAAAGTACATCTCACGGTTACAAACTGGCCGGCACTCGCCGGAAAAAGAATCGTATCACTCCTCTGATACAACGGTTCCAACATTTGGTATCAGAGCCCATGACGAACCCACCCGTCACGCGCGCTGCTGAGGCCACCACAAAAGAGAAGGTCGACCTCCTCGAGGGAACCTTGCAAAGCCTTCAGGAGGCGGTGCAAAACACCCTTCATGGTGACATCCGTCGACTGGACGGAACGGTGACCGAACTCACCGGGCGATTACAAAACTTGGAGACTGGGCAGGCCGAAATTCTGCAACTACTTCGCCCCCGCGACATCCCGGAGACCGACCGTTCGAGTGCTAGCTCCGGTCATCAGTTTCGTCGAAGAGATGACCGGCCTCATCGACAACACCGTTACGACGATGTGGGCCGAGCCATGTTTCCCACACGTTTTGCAAAGTTGGAATTTCCCCGCTTTGCCGGGGATGATCCCACCGAATGGTTCACGAGGGCCTACCAATTCTTTGAATATCAAGGCATTGAAGAAGAACAGAAGGTTCCGTTAGCGGCGTACCATCTCGAAGGAGAAGCAAATCAATGGTGGCGTTGGATGAGTAAGGCCTATGCCACCGATGGTGTAGCCATCACGTGGGAGATGTTTGCTAACGAGTTATGGACTCGTTTCGGCCCCGCAGACGAGGACGAAGCCGACGAGGCTCTTGCTCGAATCCGTCAAACGGGAACACTTCGGGAATATCAAAAGGAGTTTGAACGACTAGGGAACAAGGTCGAAGGATGGACACAGAAAGCTCTTGTGGGTGCTTTCATGGGCGGGCTGAAGTCCGAAATCTCAGAAACTCTACGACTATTCCGTCCCGAGACTCTAAAGGAAGCTATTCGTCTCGCCCGCATCAGGGATGAGCAGCTGACACGGACCAAACCCGCTACTCGAGCACCATCAGGTCGTACCACCACGGAAGCTCGTCACTACGAACCAGCTGCCAAGCCCCGACCAAACCAACCTCGCAGGCTATCATGGGAAGAGCAGCAACGTCGCCGTGCACAAGGGCTGTGTTTCAATTGCGACGAGAAATTCCACGCCGCTCATCGATGTAAGGCAGCCCCGGCTCTACTCATGACGACGGCGGACCTTGAAGAAGAGAATAGCGACGAGGCTGAAATTTCATTCCACGCCTTGACAGGACTTACCTCAAGTCGGACTATGAGGTTATGGGCCTCGGTGGGACGATCCAAGTTACTTGTCCTGATCGACAGCGGGTCTACTCATAATTTCATCAGTAATCGTGCTGCGACTACTCTCCAGCTGGCTGCAACCCCGATCCGACCTTTCAACGTCAAAATTGCTGATGGTAAGCCACTACCTTGTATGACAAAATATGATAATGTTGCACTCCAAATGCAAGGGGCCACCTTCCCAGCTACGTTATTTGCTATTGATTTAGTGGGGGTGGATATAGTGCTGGGAGTTCAATGGTTGGCATCGGTGGGCAATATCCTTTGTAATTGGCAGGAGCTCACCATGGAGTTTGATTGGCAACACCAACGCCATCGACTGCAGGGACTTGCGTCCCAAGATCATGCAAACGTATCAATAAAGAGTTTAGCTAAAGAAATTCAGGAGGGTTCCCTTCGGGCTGTTCTCTTTCCACCGGTAACAACGGAGCCTCTTCGCCAAATCCCAGCTGAATTACATGCTCTCATTCGTGAGTTTGGCGACTTGTTCGACGAACCCACGAGTCTCCCACCAGCAAGGACGATCGCGCACCAAATCAAGCTAAAAGAAGGAGCCGAAGCGGTCAATGTTCGTCCTTACCGCTATGCATATTACCAAAAGGCTGAAATCGAGACTCAAGTGAACAAGATGCTTGACGAAGGGCTCATCCGGCCAAGCACGAGTCCTTTCTCATCACCCGTCTTACTAGTGAAAAAGAAAGATGGGTCGTGGCGTTTTTGTACCGATTATCGAGCGCTCAATGCCGTCACAGTTAAAGACCGATTCCCCATTCCCACCGTCGATGATATGCTGGATGAACTTCATGGAGCATCGTACTTCAGCAAGCTAGACCTTCGTGCGGGTTATCATCAGGTACGCATGCACGAACCAGATATTCCAAAAACTGCGTTCCGAACTCACAATGGGCATTACGAGTACCTCGTAATGCCATTCGGGCTCTGCAACGCACCATCTACATTTCAGGCCCTAATGAACGAGATCTTCCGGCCTTACTTACGACGGTTCGTGCTCGTATTCTTTGACGACATCCTGGTATATAGCGCGTCAAAGGAGGACCACATCAAGCATGTACGACAGGTGTTTGAGGTATTGCGCAACCACCAGTTCTACGTCAAATTTTCGAAGTGCGCGTTCGGGCTCCAAGAGCTCGAATATCTGGGACATATCATCACCGCCACCGGCGTACGAGTTGACCCAACCAAAGTACAGGCGATGGTCGATTGGCCAACCCCTAGCAACCCCACGGAATTACGTGGATTCTTGGGACTCACGGGGTATTATCGCAAATTTGTCAAGAATTACGGTATCATCGCCAAACCTCTCACCCAACTCTTGAGGAAGGGTCAATTCGAGTGGACTAGTGATGCCGACATTGCGTTCCAAGCCCTCAAGAAGGCCGTTACCTCTACTCCTACCTTGGCCATGCCAAACTTTGACAAACCATTTGTCATCGACACGGATGCTTCTGACTCCGGCATAGGCGCTATCCTGATGCAAGATGGCCGACCAATAGCATACATGAGCAAGGCCCTAGGAATCTCCAAGCACTCTTTATCTACCTATGCAAAGGAGATGCTCGCGATCGTCACTTCCATTCAGCTTTGGCGACCGTATCTCATGGGCCGTAAATTCTTTATTCAAACCGACCAAAGAAGCTTGAAGTTCCTATTGGATCAACGTATCACTACTCCGGAGCAACAAAAGTGGGTTTCCAAGTTATTGGGCTATGACTATGAAATCATCTACAGGCCCGGGCGGGAGAACCAAGCAGCTGATGCTCTCTCTCGGAGACCCACGCCGGCTACCCTAGCGGCAATTTCCATACCCTACACGTCTCTTTGGGAGACATTAAAAGCAGCCGCATCCGCCGACCCTTACCTCTCAAAAATGCGTGAGAAAGCCCTCTCTTCTAACCCTGGAAATTTCTCCCTACGTAACAACATGGTCTTTTACAGGAATAGTGTGGCGATCTCCCCCAACTCGTCCTACATCCCGCAGCTGCTGTCCGAGTTCCATTCCTCGCCAATCGGGGGTCATTCGGGGGTCCGTCGCACCCATAAGCGCCTTGCTGCCGCGTTTCATTGGCCGGGAATGTTAGAAGATGTGAAGCGCTACGTCGCGGGCTGTGACGTGTGCCAACGAGCGAAGTCGCAATCCTTGGCTCCGGCGGGGTTACTCCAACCCCTTCCCATCCCAACTATGATCTGGGAAGACCTTTCAATGGACTTCATCGAAGGTTTGCCCACATCCGCTGGAAAGACGGTGATCCTGGTTGTGGTGGACAGGCTTAGCAAGGCTGGTCACTTTATCGGGTTGTCCCATCCATTCACTGCTCGCTCAGTCGCCGATGCTTTCGTCGACAACATCATCAAGCTTCATGGCTTCCCCCGCACAATCGTGAGTGATCGAGACCGTGTTTTTACTGGCCAGTTCTGGCGTGAGCTCTTCCGCCTCTCGGGAACCCAGCTCTCGCACTCTTCGTCTTACCACCCGCAGACGGACGGACAAACCGAGGTGGTTAACCGTTGCTTGGAACAATACCTCCGCTGCTTCACTCATCAGGAGCCTCGTCGCTGGATGAGCTTCCTTCCGTGGGCGGAGTATTGGTACAATACGACATTCCACGGTTCCACCGGTACGACACCATTCATGGCGGTGTATGGTAGGCCACCGCCGCCGATCTTATTCTATCATCCTGGTGACACGGCGGTTCACGAGATCGACCAAGCCTTGATGGACCGTAATGAAGTCCTACGACAACTCAAGAGCAACCTGGGAGATGCGCAGGCTAAGATGAAACTCAATGCTGATGCGCGGCGTCGAGACGTTGAATTCCAGGTCGGTAATTATGTCTACCTGAAACTTCAGCCCTACCGCCAACATTCAGTCTTCAAACGCGCTTCACAAAAACTTGCTTGTAAGTTCTTTGGTCCTTACCTGGTTACTGAAAAGATTGGACCGGTGGCATATCGCCTTGCTTTACCGCCAGCTGCGCGGGTCCATCCTGTATTCCACGTGTCCCTGCTACGCCCCTGCAACTCGCCATCTCCTACCGCTGCTGCTGTCGTACCGCCAATAGCTGATGATGGTGCTTTGGTTCTCTATCCTGAAGCAATCCTGGACCATCGCTGGAAGCCGTGTGGACGTCGCTTTGTTGAAGAATGTCTAGTTCAGTGGCGCTCCTTGCCCATTGAAGAAGCTACTTGGGAGTTATCGTCTGTGGTGCTCAACCAATTTCCCCACCTTCGACTTGAGGACAAGTCCGTTTCTCCTGGAGGAGGGGATGATGAGAGTAGTAACGAGCCTCGCAGGTCCGGCCGTCTTCGTCGAGTTGGGCCATGCAGCCCATGCAACCCGGCCGGCCCATACAGTGGCTAAGAGGAAGCAACGTAGAGAACTGAGTCGCTGCCTTCAACGTCGGAAGTTAGGATTTTATCTTTTCGGATTCCGCTGCGTCGGATTTGTTAGTTGCATTTGATTTTATTTGATTGTTTGGTTGATTTGTTTTGATCGGGAATATCTTGATCTGTGGACGTCGGTTAGGTTGTAGCTTCTATATAAAGGAGCTTAATGGAATAAATGAAGGCAAGCAATTATTCAAAGTACATCTCACGGTTACAAACTGGCCGGCACTCGCCGGAAAAAGAATCGTATCACTCCTCTGATACAACGGTTCCAACAATATGACATCGTTTATGTTGCAGAAGAACATGCTCTCCTATTATGGTGTGAACTAATTTTCTGTTCGTGCTTTTGTAGCCTCTTGATTGTTTTTGTTGTTTTGGAAAGTAATATTCTACTGCATTTAATTTTGTTTTATCCAGAACATAAGAAGGCAGCCAATGATGGTGCTTCTATGAACAGTGATCCCACTCTTCCAGGTGAGAAGTCAAATCATTGGTTCAACTTACTTATTCTCTCAGAGATAGTGTACCAAGGGCATGTTGTGGATTGTCTAGTTAATTGAGGATGTAAAAAGTGAGAAGAATTACTGTTTCAACAATCTTAATTGTGAAAGAGGCTTGCAGGACCTTGTTGTTCTTAAATAAGTTCTTCCCCTTTTTGCAGAGAGGGCAAGCAAAGGGAATCCAAAGTCTGCATTTCATCAGGATGGATGGGCACCTCTACACTCTAAAGATGGGATTAGCAGGGATGAAGACATCCTTATGAAAATTGGAACCCTACAGTCCCAAGTCCATAAGTTGAGGTCCCGAATCGATGTGGTGATGAGGGATAATCCAGGAAAGTTCTCTTATGTTACTAGGTTGAGCTCGCCCGAGCCAGATAAAATGTTGGCCCGTTCTGAAAACCCGGATCCCTTGATTGAAAATGGAGATAGAGAGCTTAATTCTCTATACCCTGTGGACGATCTTATACCTGGAATTCCAGTTTCAAGTCTGGGTGAGGCAGCCCCTGGTCCTGATATGCCAGAAACCCTAGTTCAGCCTTCTGTTGGAGTTCCTTGTGAAATTGTAAGTTCTTCTGTTACACAATGATTTCCTTGTCTTATCTGTCACAAATAAATGTGTGTTTGTTTAGGCTAAAACAAATTGGGTAAAAACAAGCTAAAAGATATACACAGACATTACTTAAATCTGAATATCAAATCACTAATAAATTCATTTCCAGCTTTGTCCCTTCGAAATACAAATATATTCATTTTTTTAGGTAACTTCTTTTAAACAATCATTTTCTTTTAGACAAGCTATACCATCAGTAACTTCTTTTACTAATAAAACATATTTCATACCCTATCAACTCATCAACTTTTTCCCAGACCTAACCGCAACATAACTTGTAAAGTCTTGTAAAACAAAGTTAATTGTTATTGCATCTTTACAAAGGGTGCTTTTGTGAATCCATTCTTATTTGTCACTCTCAATCTACACGGGGGCTACCACAAGAAACGGACTCTATGATTTGCTACTGATTCGCTCTTCCCTATTTGCAGATGAACGATGCTTTTGCGACTGGTAATCAACCAGCAAAGAAAGAAATTGCAGAAGTTGTAGCAGATTTTGGGAGTCAGGCCAAGCAGAAGCCTGATTTACCAACCGATGTGCAGTCAGCAAGCAACCCAAGTCAAGCAAGGGCTCCATTACTTCAGATGCACTACCCTGGGAAATCACTTCCAAAATCTAGGTCCAGGGTGATTACCAGTAACAAGCGAAAACGTGGTAAGAGGAGGTCTGGAAGAGGTGGATGGAACCGGAAACCTTCAATTGAAAGGTGAAGAAGAAATCGTTTTTACTCGGTGCATATGCTAATTGGTATATATGTTCAAAATGAGGCTTTTTTACCAAGAGGAGAACTGCTCAAAAACCATACTCTTCCCATCTGTTGATTTTGTATATGCTAGCAGCTGCATATTCTTTCTCTCATGTCTCTCGTCCCTTGCTTGGTTCTCTTTGTACTGCAACATAGCAGCAACGTATATATAGTATAGCTTACATTTCTGTTCTGTAGATCTGTTTATTCTTTCTTAGACATTTCTAACGTAGTGCTGAGAGCCGTGATGTAAACCGAATGGTGTATCATTCTGAGACGTTAATTCTTTAGCTTCTCATTTTGTCTAATGGTTATCGATTCCGTACTCATTTTGGAACATGATGAAACACACAAGTTGATAGAGAAGAATCGGATTGGGAATAGAGAAGAAGAATTAGGGATTGGAAATAGAATTGGGGAAGAACAGAGAGAAGAGGGATTTAGGGATTTTGATATTCTTATTGCTTAACCCCAAATGAATGTGCAGAACCCTATTTTATGTGTTTCAGCAAACTAACGCAAAATAACAAAAATGCCATCAACAACCCGGCCCAGGCGGCCAACCCAACCCGACCCCTACCCGCCCTGCGGGTCTCTATCATCCCCTTCCCCATCAGAAACGACCTTGTCCTCAAGGTCAAATGTCGGGAAACGCTGCCGTAGCATGGCCGTCTCCTCCCAAGTAGCATCCTCGCGCGCCATGTGCTGCCACAGAACCAAACTCTCCTCAATCATGTGCCCTCCCTTCCGAACCCATCTGGTATCCAAAACCTGTACCGGGGTCAATATAAGGTCCCCATCCGCAGAAACTGGTGGGGCAGTAGTCTCAACCCGGTCTGCGGCCCCTCTGTAACGCTTCAGCAGTGAAATATGAAAGGTAGGATGGATACGAGCATCCGCCGGCTGCTGCAAACGATAGGCCTTCGGATTAATCTTCTGCAGCACCTCATAGGGACCGAAATAACGAGCTGCCAGCTTCTGATAGGCCCGGCGGAAAACGGAAGCCTGCCTGTACAGATGAAGGCGAAGCAGAACCCAGTCTCCTACATCGAACTCCTCCTCACGTCTGCCTGCATCCGCCATTTGCTTCATCTTATTATTGGCAGCCGCCAGATTGGCCTTGAGCTGCTCCAAGGCCTCATCCCTAGTCTCGAGCCAACGGTCCACCGCGTCCACCGGGCTGGCGCCCTGCTGATATCGAACCAAAGCAGGCGGCGGTCTACCATACAATGCTTCAAACGGAGTCGTCTGGATCGCCCTATGATACGTAGAGTTATAACATAGCTCGGCCCATGGCAACAGGGCCAACCACCGTCGTGGCTGCTGGTGGGCAAAACAGCGCAGGTACTGCTCCAAGTATCGGTTGACCACCTCCGTCTGGCCATCTGTCTGGGGGTGGTAGGCAGAACTCATCCGCAATGTCGTCCGGGCCATGGCGAATACCTCCTGCCAGAATCTGCTCAAAAAGACCGAATCCCGATCACTGACAATCGATCTCGGAAACCCGTGATGGCGTACGAGGCCATGAAATGAGCATACTTCGTTAGTCGGTCCACGACGACGAACATGACCGTCTTACCGCCGGACAGGGGCAGGCTGACAATGAAGTCCATGCTGATGTCCTCCCAAACCCGCTCGGGAACCGGAAATGGCTGCAATAGACCGGCCGGCCGAAGATGCGACGCCTTGACCCGCTGACAGGTGTCGCACGATGCTACATAATCCTTCACATCCTGGCCCATCTGGGGCCAATAAAACTGCGCCCGGATCCGCCGCAGTGTCCTCTCCACCCCGGAATGCCCTCCAAAAGGAGAGTCGTGATACTCCTGAAGCACGGTCGTCACCAGGGAGGATCCCCGCGGAAGGACGAGCCGCCCCCGAAAGAACACCAACCCCTGACGGAACGAGTAGTGGCCCGGAGCTTCACTAACTGCTGTATCCCGACAACCCCACAAATAGGCATCCGTCTCCGTCAAGGCTCGGAGCGCATCCCAAAACTGAGGCATCGGTCCCGTCACTGCTGCCAGTATCTCTCCCCCAGACCGCCTCGAAAGCCCATCTGCCACGACGTTGGAAGGGCCCGGTCGGTAATGGATCTCATAATCGTATCCCAGGAGCTTCGCGACCCACTTGTGCTGATCTGGAGTGGAAACGCGCTGCTCCAATATGTTCCTCAAGCTCTGATGGTCGGTGTAAATGTGGAACTTCTGGCCTAGAAGGTACGGTCGCCACATCTGCACTGCGGTAATGATAACATGCATCTCTTGTGCGCATCCTCCTCCTGCATCCGGATCTGGTGGTACCTGGCTCTCAGGTCGAGTTTAGTGAAGTAGGTCGAGCCATGAAGCTCGTCGAGCATATCATCCACTGTGGGAATCGGAAACCGATCCTTCACTGTCGCAGCATTGAGTGCCCTGTAGTCCGTGCAGAATCGCTAAGTCCCATCCTTTTTCTTGACCAGGAGCACCGGCGAGGAAAAAGGACTAGTGCTAGGGCGGATTAGCCCGGTCTCGAGCATCTCCTCCACCTGCCGCTCTATCTCCTCCTTCTGTGAGTGCCCGTACCGGTATGGCCGGACATTCACAGCCTCCGCCCCTTCCTTGAGCTGAATCCAGTAAACCTGTCTGTGGGGCGGCAAGGTGGTCGGCGTCCGAAAGAGCTCTGGGAACTCATCCAACACCCGCTGCAGCTCAGGGTCCACCTCCTTCCCGTCAGTTGCCACCGCGGGCCAACAGAGGACCGCCAGCTCGGCCTCACCCTCCACGAGGCACTCAAGGAGCGAAATGGGACCCAGAGGTGTCGTCAGCCCTTGCAGGCTCCACTCCTTGTCTCGCCACTTGAACCGCATGGTTAAATGTCGCCAGTCAGTAGTCATCGGTCCCAATTCCTACAACCATGGAACACCCAAAATCATGTCAAACCCGCGGATTGGCAGGACATACAAATCTGCGGTGACAGGCAGCCCTTGAATCTCGAACGAGAGGCCCGATACACTGCTCGGCACCGCATAGGCGCCCCATTGGCAACCCTGACCACGACAGACTCCACCACACTCGGCTTCTGGGGCAGTTTCTTCGCCAGTTCCTTGCTGATGAAGTTGAGGGTCGCTCCGCTGTCCACCAAGGTCAGCGCCGTGGTGTTGGCTATCTCTGCTCGGAAACGGAGGGTTCCCGGTGTAGGCAGACCGGTCACTGAATGAATCAAGACAGCCGGAGCAGCCTGAGGCAGCCTGCTGCCCCCGTCTCTCGCCGTCGGTCCTTGCACCCCGCTGTCGCAGAGCCCCGGCGCCGGCGAGCCACCCCGGGCGAGCGCCGCCCTGACGCGCGTCGCGCCGCGCCCACCGCCAGCTGCGGCCGCCTCCCCTGCCGCGATCACGGCCTCCTCGAACGGCGGGTCTTCGCGCGGCCTCGTCCCGAGCGCCCGCTCCCCCATCGCCACCTGTTGCGCCCGCGCCGCCGGGCCCTCGGCCAGGTCGTCCACCGCTCCCGCCGGCCAGCCCTTCGCGCGCGCCGTTGCAGCTTGGTCGGCGCAAATAGCATCAAGGGTCCGTTGGATACGGATCCACACTGGATCAGAGAGCCACGATGAGCTCATTGGAGGCTCTGATACCAATTGATAGAGAAGAATCGGATTGAGAATAGAGAAGAAAAATTAGAGATTGGAAATAGAATTAGGGATTGGAAATAGAATTGGGGAAGAACAGAGAGAAGAGGGATTTAGAGATTTTGATATTCTTATTGCTTAACCCCAAATGAATGTGTAGAACCCTATTTTATGTGTTTCAGCAAACTAACACAAAATAACAAAAATGCCATCAACAACCCGGCCCAGACGGCCAACCCAACCTGACCCCTACCCGCCCTGCGGGTCTCTATCACAAGTATATGGATATATGAATTTAGAGTCTTTTATTTATACATAGAACTCCCCATATACATATAGTTTTTATCTTCAGTGTGGGTGAGTAGGTTTAAGGACACTTCTGCCTGCCCTTATTGTCCTTCATGTCCCTGTAACAAGGGCACTCTGACCTATTCCCGTAGGTCCCTGAAGGCACACAGTGACATTTCCCGCAGCAGATATTGCAGTACTTCAAACACCTCTTCATCACCCCTGCCTTGGCGCATCTTCCCTCGCACTTCGAATCGCATGTTCCTGCCGTAAAAATACCCACAAAATCCATTGAAATAACCCAGAAAATCTACCGAACTCGATTCCATACATTTGATTAGCACTTACCGGGTGGAGAGGCAGGGGGTGAATCAGGGGAAAAGGCACCGTCAATATCGAGGGCAAGTGAGAGCTGAAGGAAAGAGGCCGCCGCCATAACCATGGAAATTATGAGCAGCAGAGTAATTGGTAAGAGGAGTTTCATTCTGCTCGCACTTTAATTTACTGGGTATTTTCTGAAACGAAGGAAGGGATCGAGTTGCTGGAAGACGGAGGCTACAACAAACAGGCCAAGCTTTGAAGGAGAAAGTATACTACAAATATTTTGTAGTTGCGCTTCTAGAGATGGCACTTGGTCGAATTAGGGAGTCTGGGTCTCCTTGGGGAAACCAGATGAGAGAAGTTTGGCGGTAACTCCCTTCTAGCAGGAAGTGTACACACGCAGCCGTTCCTTGTTCATGCCATCACGAAGCTGCAGCTAGCCAGTATGTTTCTGTACTGTTGTTGTTTGTCGCTTTTGATCCCCTGAATGCATGTACCGAGGAGGTTAACGGTTTACTTGCAATGAGCAAAACTCAACGGTACAGTTAGTGGTGAATGAATCCAATACCGGTTGACAGCTTCTGTTGCCCCGATCTATGACGACTTCTGTTTCACGGCTATTACCGTTTTAAAAATTCAAAACTACCACTGTTTTAAAACAAAATTACAAAAATACCACCAATTCTCAAGAATTTCCAAAAATACCACCCTTCTCGATAAACCGCGCCAGCAAGGGGCTGTTTGACCCTTCCGTAGCTGTCAAAACGCGCCTCCATGTGGCGGCACATGCAACCGCGCGATGGGCAGGCGATCTAACGGCCTAACCGCCTGCCAGCGCAGCGATCCATGTCACTCACGAAAATCGTTGCCCTGAAACGCGGTTTGCGCGTTGGGAAACGTAAACCGCGTGCTGAAGGCGCGGTTTTGCGTGGGGTAAAAAGACCAAACCGCCCGTCCAGCACGCGGTTTCGTCCCTATAAAAACCCACCCTTTCCTCCCATTTTCTGCACACCAAACCCCCATTCTCCTCTCTCTCTCTCTCTAAGTTCCTCACTCTACCCATCCCCCTCCCCACCCAAAAACCTTGGAAGTAGTTGTTTTGTTGGTTGCGGCTAAGTCTGATCAGCCTTCAAAAAACTTTTTCTTTGGTTTTCACTAAAAAATCGTCGAATCACTGTCCGGATTCTGAAAAAATGCCGATTTTATCCAAGAAGAGGGTATTTACTATGATGATTATCAAGCGGTACGTACTCATTTTACCCAATTTTTGTTGTTGTTATAATGGTTTATTTAATTTATATACTAATTGATTTATGTTGTTGTTATGCTATCGTAGGTTGGGCCGGATGTTGATATATACAATCAACGATATTATGTTGATCAAGGACCGATTGATCCGACTATTTTATACGATCAAGACAATCATCGTTCAAGAGACGTTTGGAACGACCACAAGATACATATTATTTATCATCACTTGTAATTTTTATTTTGTTAACGTAATTTGTTTGTTTGTACAATAAATTACTTAATTGTTAATCGTATTGATTATTTTTAATAATTTAAATCAATACAATACAACACTTATTTAGACTCTTTATAAAGAAATGCATGTATAAGGAAATGGGGTCTTAAGCGATCATCATGATCCTCTCATGACATGGGAAAATCGGGTTCTAAGCGATCCTCGGATCCCCTCTTTTTCTGTAAAAAATATTGTGTTTCTAAGGAGATGTATACCTCTCCTAAGAGTCTTACAAGTGTAACCATTCCACCGCAACCCAAGCGTGAACCTTTGGAATGTCATCTGCAATAAAACTGTAATTAAGTTACTAACATAAAAATCACAAAGGACAATGAAAAGTAATACAAAACAAACTTACGAATTAACGTTAATCGCAAAAACTAAATAATTAAAAGGTGCACAACTGAAATTTGAAGAAGAAGGAGGAGTGGAGTGAAGATTTTGAGTTTTCTGGACCAGCCTTTTATAGGCGAATTTTACACTACAAACCGCAGGGGGGGGGGGGGAGAGCGGTTTTAGTCTGGTATGCAGCCCCCACCCTTGCAACCTCCTGCATGCCGACATGTCGGATGTCGGGTGACCAGGCACAAACCGCTGGTGGGGGCAGCGGTTTATGTGTCGACATGGTAAACCGCTTCTCTGTGGAGCTTTTTACCATGCCGACATATAACCGCTCCCCGAGGAAGCATTTTGTCGTTGGGCAGCCATAAAAACCACTTTTTCGAAGAGCGGTTTTACCTGAAAAGGCAAACCGCGTCTTGACCAGGCGGTTCTAAGGTAAACTGTGGCCTGGTTGTGCGTTTTCTATACTAAACGCCCCTTAGTGGAGCGCTTTTTAATAAACAGTGGTATTTTTGGAAATTTTTGGGAATGGGTGGTATTTTTGTATTTTTTTTAAATAGTGGTAGTTTTGAAATTTTTTTCCTCATTTCTTGTTATGCTTCAAATCAAACATAGTGCAGGACGCGAATCGGTTCTCAATCAATTTTTGAAGAACATGAGATCTAAAACATTCAGGAACACACAAAATCTAGCACACAAATTAAAATATGATGATAAAATTTACAAAATTATTCATAATTTTTTTTTGCCACGATCAAACACCTAACAGAAGCATCTATAAATCGTGATAAACATTTATGACATTAGATCGTCAATGGCAATGCATCATAGTATAACATTATAGATAGTGATGGCAATTTGAATCCGTCCCTTGGGTATTATCCGACTTGATCCTTGATGGGACGGGTATTATCCGATCCGCAGTAGAATGGAGCGGGGCATGAGTATCTACTTCTGATCCGTCCGGCCCGGTCTAGACCCATTTTATCTCAATTTCTTACAGTAACTGTCTATATTTCTCCTATTTTGACTTTTCTTCAACTAGTTATAGTCGATATTTCAACTTGTAAGACTCAATTATCCATTCTATTATCAACCCTTCCCGTCCCGACACGTAGTAGTGTGTGGTGGGGCATGGGAATTAAGGTGTCCGCCCCGCCCCATTGCCATCCCTAATTATTGAGAGATCCATCATAGGTAAGAAAAGGGTTGGAAAAGCTCTATTAAATCTTTATTTCAATTGGATAATAGATGAGTGATGTTACTATCTTTATTTCTAATTTGCCTTGAAGAGTTCGTTCTCCCTGTCCTCCATTGAGACCATCCGCATCAATGAAATACCATTTCTATTTCATATGTGGTCCCTACCGCCACATCAACAACTTTTGTCATTTCACTTTATATCAATTCCATTTCCTTCACATCAATGACATACACTTTCTATTTCATATGGTGGGCTCAATTGATTATTTTAATATAATTCTATATTTTATCTAAAAAATAAAAAATATAGAGATGAGGCAAAACCGTGGAAAGGGGCCCACATCTACCCCACTTGTTATTCCATTGAGACTTCCATTAAGACCATCCACAATTCCACATCCATGAAATAGCAATTCTATTTCATATGTGGTCCCTACCGCCACATCAACAACTTTTTCTATTGCACTACATCCCACTTTCATTTCCTCTACATCAATGAAATACCCTATCTATTTCTTATGGTGGGTCCAACTTACTTTTTAATACATCTATATATTATAAATAAACAATATAAAAATGAGACTAAACGGAACGAGCCAAACGTGGGGAAGGGGGCCACTCCCAACCCCACTTGCTATTTCATTTACAATTCCATTAAATGAAATCTTCCATTTGTTGAAATGCCTCCTACAACCATGAAATAGCCAAACCTGGATGTCATGTCATAATGGAAGAGGGAAATGAAAGATGTTGTGGATGCTCTAAGCAGAAGCTGCCACTTTATGGAATAACCTCTACAACCATGAAATGATTTATTAAAAAAAAAACCATGAAATGATAAATGAAAGTGGCATGTCATCAATGAAATGACTGCTAATTAGCATCTGATGCAGTTGCTCTGACAAAGCAGATGGCACAGCCTTTTCAATCGAACCCACAACCGGTACACCCCGACCTCTAAATCAGTTCCGTCCACACACTTTGGACCATTGACCGCACTTAATTTGCTAACTACTATAGAGTAGGGATGGCAACTTTGCCCATACCCATGGGTTTCTTACTATCCAACCCAATTGGGTTGGGTATGAAATTCAAATAGATGAATATGGGGTAAATTACATGTTTGGTCACTCAAATTGTATAATTATTTCACGTTTGCCACCCGAATTGTTTTTCTTTCTTATTCGCTACTCGCTTTATGAATCGTTTCACAGTTAGTCACCGGCCATTAGTCTCCGTCAAATTCCGTTAACTCCGTTAATTTTTTGCTGATGTGGCAAACAGAACTGCTGACTAGACCGTTAAGCTAATGACATGTTAATTTAAAAAAATAAAAAATAAAAAGTGCCATTCTCTCTCTTCTTCGGCTTTAGTCAATGTCAAATAAATAAAAAATAAATAAAAATGTGCCCCTCTCTCTCCCTCTGTTCTTCTTCTTCTTCGACTTTAGCCATGGCCTGCAAAATCCTCCCATATAAGATCTCCTCTTCCCCCAAAACCAGATAGATCGAGATGGCAGCTTCTAAAGTAAGAACCGACCATCGCCACTCCATCAATCGCATATCTTGTCCATTTCTACTTATGCTACTACTCTTCTCCAAGTTCTCCGTCTTCTTTCGCGGCCTTCGACGGCCTCAACATCGGCGTCCAAACCATCGACTGCCCCAGCGTTGTTCTGGTAATTATTATAATTACTTATACTTTGTTAATTAATCAATAATCTTGTTTTACTTAACTTTAAGAGATGTTGGCTTTTTGACACCGTGAAGAAGGCAACAGCAAATGCGAGTCAGAGTTCTGCTTCGATAATTGATTTGAACGGTGTTTTTGTCTAATGAATAATCTTATTGCTCAATCCCCAGAGCCTTCAATTTTGTCATCCAATTGTCCGCATTTTTAATAATCTGATTGTTGAACCCGCCGCAGAGCCCTCTGTCTCTAGTGACGACCACGAGGGCGACTTTCTTCACCGGACAAACTTTGGTCTGCGGGGCATCAACGTCTTCGGTATGGAGCTACTCGTTGATGTTGTAGAGGACTTCGACTAGAGTCTGGGAGAAGGGGAGTCGTTGAAGAAGGCTTCCTGGGCGCAACCGACTTTGGCGGTGACGACGAGCCTCATGGCATCGGTAATCTTCTGGGTGTTCTTGACGGAGTCGATTCTGGTTCAGAGCTAGCTGAGGTTGCACTAAACAGGGGAGGCAGAGGTGGGTCTCGAGGTGGAAGAAGAAGAAGAAGAAGAAGGGGAGTTGGGACTTGGGAGATGGGATTTGGTATGGGGATCTGGAAGAACGGAAGGGAGAGTGGGAAAGCGGAGAAAAAACAGAGAGAGGGACCAGTTTTTTTTTTTTTTTATTTAACAAGTTATTAAGTTAATTGTCCAGTCAGCGGTTCCGTTTGCCACGTCATCAAAAAATTGACGGAGTTAATGGAGTTTGACGGAGACTAACGGTCGGTGACTAACGGTGAAACGATTCGTAAAGTTAGTGGCGAATAAGAAAGAAAAATAATTAGGGTGGCAAACATGAAAGAATTATACAATTTGAGTGACCAAACGTGTAATTTAGCCGATGAATATGGGTAGAGTTTGATGGGTTTGTACCAATACCCATTTACTTTGGGTTGAGTTGGGTTTATTATATCAAATGGATTTGGGTTTGTACCCATGCCCAAATACAAACTACAGTTTGGTACCCAAACTTAATATATATGCATATTTAGTACCTAAATTTAATTTTGTTTGCATATAAGTCCTCAAAATATCGATGGAAAATTACGTTTTGGTACCTAAATTTTTTTGGTCTAACATTTGGTACCTAAACTTTTCAAGTTTTACAAATAGGTACAATTTTTGCATGTGTAGTTAAAACACTTTCAAGTAAATGGATATCCATATCCAACCCTTACCCATTTAGATTATGGAAGCAATATTCATACATTACCCAAACCCATCTACAAACCCCCAAACCCATATGCACTTCACCCATACCCAACCCATTATCAATGGGTTTACTTGGATTTGGATATAATTACCCATGGGTGGGTAATTTGCCATCCTACTATAGAGTTAGGACCCTAACTCATCCCACCATCCACATCTCACTGGACTCCTTATATCAAACAAACTCTATTTATATAATAATAATAATAATAATAATAATAATAATAATTTATTAAAAGAGCATATTATGTATGTAAACCTTATAAAAACAGAAATCGGCGAGCATAAGAAATATGTATACATAAATAGATAGAGAACATGAAAACGCGTCCAAATTACAATGGTACAACGGACACAAAGAAAGAAATAATAAAGCTACGTAAATACAACCAGTTTACCATACCCGACTCAAATCAAAAAGCTCTGCCTGTCTCTCAAAAGAAATGGTGGGGGAGATTGAAATGCCAACAAAGTGAAAAAAAAATGTCCGGAACGAATTTTGACTTGAGACGGGGTTGGGTAAACCAAATCCTCCGTGAAAGAGGATTAGATTAGAGTTGACCACAGATTTAAAAATAAATTGAATGAAATATTTTGAACCAAAACAAACTCGATCGGCTCCGCTCTAAAATGCAACAGCCATAGCAACCAGTGCGGCCATTCCGCCGACCATCATCTTCTGCACACTCCTCATGCTCTCTGCTCCACTCTGCAACACAAGCATAAACCCACATTTTATATTATTAAATATTAATTAGTCATAATTCTAGATCTCCATGAATGAATCTCAATCTACCCATAATTAATCATCGGATTCAAGGCGCGTGAGATATTAATTAATTTAATCTGCCCATTGTCAGCCATATCAGACAAACAATCAATCGCACAGCACGCGTGGATCACAACCGCCAGCGATCTCGCGTTTCCCCGTCCGGGAGCGAGAGTAAATTAACATAGTCAACACTCCCCCACTCAACAAAAACGGAGAGATTCTTGCCTAATCCCTAATCCTCACTACTAGATCTGATCTCAGATTCGCCGGCATTTCAAAAAAACTGAGGCCGCCGACGAATTCTACACTACCTACTGCTGCTATTTCCAGATCTGAAAGTGTGCAATGCATTTAATTAACCAAGGCGCTTTCAATTTCGAACGGCTTACCTCATCGGCAACGACAGGGCCAGGGGCGTTGGCTTCGGCGCTAGGTCCGGGAGCCCCGACTGGAGGAGCGGGAGGGCTGGACAATGAAGGCGAGGGAGCCGGAGATCCGCTCTTCTTCTTGGACTTCTTGCTGGGAGCCGGCGCGGGGACGTCGGCGGCGGGAGGGGAGGCGGTAGGCGTAGTAGCGGCGACGGGAGCAGGTGTGGGAGGAGCGGTAGCTGCTGCAGGCGGCGGAGAGCTGACGGGAACGGCAGCTGGTGGAGGGGAGCTGACTGGAGTCACCGCTGCTGCCGGCGGAGTAGCGACCGGTGCTGCGGTTGGGTTGGCGGCCGGTGGAGAGGATGCGGGAGCTGGTGATTTAGGGCTGCTAGCGGCGGGGGCGGTGGCGGGAGCAGCGGGAGTGGCTGGAGTAGTTGTCGGTGCGGCTGCCGGGGCTTGGCCACCGACGCCGGCGACGACTACGCACACCAATGCGAGAACGAGCATACTCTTCTTGCCCTCCATTTCTGTTTTCTTTCGAGAGAGAGAGAGGAAATTCGAGAGCAGGAATCGAGATTAGAGAGAGGAGTGAAGAAGATGGGGTTGAGTGTGGGAGGGTGAAGGTGGAGAGTGTAATTTATAGGAGGGGGAGAAAATCATTTTGCAACGGACAGATGTCTGATCGATCTGGACCGTTGATTTGGGGAGGAGGGAAAAGGAACCCGCAGTACAGCCGTTCGATGGATGGCCCACTCGGGTTTGGTTTAGCGGTGGATTTGGCTGTTTGGGGAATCAAAAGAAGAAAGGGAGGAGGAAGGCTCCAACGGGAACGCCTCGCTGCTTCTTCTCTGTAATGTTGGGCCGGGCCGGGCCAGTCACAGGTCTTAGCTGGCTGGGCCCCACCGTAGGGTGAGGGCCGGCGGCGATTGTGTGCATCAACGCATGTGGTAATCAAGTGGGTGTTGATCATGCCATGTGGGATTGCCACGTCGGCTCAAACAACCTTTTCTTTTTTGTCTTCAATAAATGGATCGATCAAATCACATCTAAACTAGCCGTTACCAGTATTTTACAACTCAACATAATCCTCCTTTCATTCTACCATTTTATCATAATTTTTACAGTTTACGGTGAAGTTAAAAAACAAGAAAGAGGTAAATATTGGTGTGAAGAATATAGAGAGGAACGGAACGGAAGTGGATTTTGGTTGGTTAGGCGTAACGGAAACGCGAAGGGAGGGGGGAAGGGGAGACTTGCTTGCATTGTCAATAACAGTTGGCTTGGATTCAGCGTTTTGCGGGTGATGACGGGCGCGGAGATACAGGGTGAAGAATATACAGCTGTGACCAAGAAGAAGAAGAAGAAGAAAGAGGATGGCAGTTTGTAGAATTGTGAGAAAGCAACAAGTACGAATGGGGATGTTCCGCGCGGCGAATCGGACATAGGATTGCGAGTGAAGCGAAGTCTTCCCCGGCCGGTTAACTTTTAGAAAGCCACCACTGTGCTCTACAGCTTTCGCATTTCATAAGCGTGTGGGACCATGGAAAAAGGCCCGTTCGGGGGAATCGTGCCTTCAAACCCCAGGGGGGCAGTTCACGGCCACAGACCAATCTTCTTCGCTTTTCCTAGGTAAAGGGGTAAGGATAGGGGTGGGCATGCGGTTCGGTAACCGACTCGAACCGAAATCGAACTTAAGTTGTTCAATTCGAAATTCGAAAAGGAAATATACTTATTTCGGAAATTAAGGTGCGGTCGACCCAACTGAGTTTCCGAAATCCAAACAAACTAAACCCAGCCCACATATATTGTTATTAAGCCCGCCAAACCTTTCCCATTCTGCCATCCCAGCCCACCCATACACATTCCCTCAGGCCGAAACCCTCAGAGGCCGAAACCCATCCAAACACACTCCCTCAACAAGGCCAAGCCCACCCAAGTCCCAATACACACTCTAAACCCTCTTAGCTGCTAACTCTAAAGAAAGTAAGAATAGAAGAGGAAGAAAAGAGTAACCCATGTCTTCCGTTCTCTTATGGATCCCAGCTCTTCTCTTCCCTTCTCTTCAAGACGCTTCGAGTCTGGGCTTTGCATGCGGCGGATGAAGAAGCGAAGACCGGGAACTGAAGGGCGCGATGAACGGCGGCCCTATTAAGAACGAGAGAAGAATCATATATGGCAATCCGTTGATGAGAGGAAGAGCTGATACCCACCAATTTTCCCGGTGAGTTGAGGGCTTGGATTGAACAGACGAATTGGCGCCAGAGTGCTCTGGGCGGTAGAGTGCTTGGAGAGGGCGGATCCGCGGCATACCATCATTCTCTGCCCCTCCGCAGAATAGATCTACCATTCCTCCTTCGTTCTCCCTCTAAAAATCGCACCTTTGAGATCTCTGTCTCTTTTTTTTTTCTCTCTTTCCTCTGAAAATCGAACTTTGTTTGGGTTTTGGGATACTTTTATGTTTGGGCGAGAGTTTGTTTGGGGAGGGATAGAGAGCAGAGGGAGGGGTGGAAGAAGATGACGAAAGTGGTGAAGGGAAAGTTTGTTTGGGAGAGAGAGAGAGAGAGAGAGGTGATGGGAAAGTGGGAAAGTTTGGGAGGGAGAGAGAGTAGCTGAAGAGACGACAGATTGAAGAAGAATTGGGAAAGTGGGGAATGCCAGTTTTCTCTAGAAGTTTGGACGGGTCGGGATCCCGAACCGAACCAAAATATATTTTGGCTCGGTCAAACCAAATCGAAATATACTTCTGTTCGAATTCGGTTTCACCTTTGGTATGTTCGGAGGACCCCGCATGCTCCTATTCGGTTTGGTTTCGACCGAACCGATGCCCACCTCTAGCAGGGGCGGACCTAGGGCAAAGTGTAGGGTTATTCCCCTATTTTATCTATTTTGACTTAGGTTTCTTTCTATTGAGCATAAAAATGAATCGAATGACAGGATGGCTAAAGCCGTACAAGAAGAAGGGAGATGATGGTGCTTCTTCTTCATGAGTATCACGACATCCCAGTCCCCCTCGAGCGGAGACAGAGTATGCAACCCCTAAAAGGTCTGCAAGACTCAATAGGAGGGAGTGATCACACATAGAATTGACTATTATAGACCCTCGTATTATGATTCAATGTGCATTCATTTAGTATCATTATCGTCATAATACCTTGGATTCGTGCTATGATTGCTTCAAGTGTGTTTCACCAACCATAGGATTGCTTTTGCGGGTTTGATGCGCTTTTGGTAGTGCTTTGTGCATTTTTAGCTCAAAGTAGACTAGTGAACGACTTGATGGACGAAGGGGACATCGTGATCCAGTTGTTGGAGCCGAAAATTGAAGAGGAGACGAAATTAAAGAAATGGCGCCCAAAACGGAAGCCCATGATGAAAAATGGCGCCATTGTTCTCGTTTAACGGGGCTCCTCTTCTTTTTCAGAAAGTTACCTGAGAGCTTCCTGATTCGCTAGCCAAAGTTCGGAGAATTTTGATTGGCTGGATGACGTAGTAGCTATCACGATGTAGAGATGAGAGGCCAAGGAAGGACCGTTGCTCTGTCGACAAAGCGACTCACCAGAATTAGAGCGAAATTAACCTCAAGGGAGGAATCGGCGCTAGAAACGGCGTCACTAGCTCTGTTTCTATGTTGTGGCCACCGATTCCAGTAGTGTTCTGAGGATTTCTTTTCGACCGATGATCGCCTAGAAGCCCTTCCACGTGACTGGCTAGTTCCTTTAGTTGCATAGGTATGTGAACCCTTGGAGTCTAGTCATGTAAAAATTGATATTTTGTATAATATGATTGTTTTATTTCATATGTATTAGTGCTTGATTTCCTCTATTTCGTTATTTGTCGATTTGAATGCTTGCTTAGTCAACCTTGCACTCCTTCGAGGTACAAGGATCAAAATCCTAGTTGTGTAGAATTAGACCATACATGGCGGTCTTATTCGATCATCGTTAGATCGAACAACGTTATGCCTCAAGGGAGAAACCACAAGGTCCTTTTTTCCCATTAGTTCGGGTAAATGATTCGACACAATGTGGGATCTAACGAAATACAAAATTGGCAGCTCGTATGTTGTCAGATATCGAGGTATACATGACTAGGAGACCTAGAGGGAGCTTGTCTATCCAACTCCTTCGTTCTCTGTTCTCTCGTTATCCAAACCATTTTCTTCAGTCTCTCTCCGACAGTTCTAGTGCCAAGAAGGCGGAGAGATGGAGAGAGATACTAGTGGATGCCCAAGGAGAGCTTAACTGGCCAGACTGCGAACAGTACCAAGGATGGGGCGCAATAGTGAGACAGAGACTAGATGATGTCGGTCTCCTGTCCTTATTCGGTATTAGAGGAGAGAATAATGACATGCTCACAAGAGAGTTCATGGCCACCTTGATTGTGAGTCCAACAACGTACTTAAGTCAGAAGTGCATCTCCTGCAGATTGGCGGGACGACACTTTAACTACAATTATGATAGTTTCTCCATGAATCTAGGACTCCAGGCCTACCATAGAAGATGACCACTCTCTAATGCTATCTTTGGAGCTTATTGAAAAATTACAACATAGACAACTATCTTTCGGAAGCTATAAGTGACGATCACAAGAGATCAGGTCGAGTTTGCCTTAAAAGGTAGCATTTTTACTTTATTCTCAAATCTCACTCGCTTAAAAAAGCAAGTTTGTATATCACCATCTTGACAATGCTTCTTTTATGTGCCGGTGAAAAAGAAGTGTTTCAGCCCTTCCACGCCTATGTGTGTCATCTTCGGCAAAGGAAAAATAATCGCCAAAAGCAAAACAGGAAACCAGATCCAGACACAAACTATATTATGTGTCAAGAAATTAACTGAACCATGTGGGACTAATGATTGTCTCCAAGCATTTTAGAGGAATTTTGCATATGACAGCCGCATTTTCTTGAAACCAACCCCCGCACTTCACTTCACTTCGCTCTGGTACTTGGAACTACGTACTATGTCCACAAGATTAGGTACTAGATTCTATTATATATGTTTGTGCTTTAGTCCACTTTTCCCTTTTCCTTAACGTGCTAGAAACCAACACGGGCTTTTTCCGATGTTAATTACCCCAAAAGTTACCATTTCAGATATCAAAAACTAATTTTATAGTTTGCTCTATATGGAGGGGACCAGCGGAAAGGAAAAGGTATTAGATGGTTGGCTGGAATTGGGGCTCCAAATGAGTTAACTTCCATGAGCAGCTCGACACTCGATTTGAGAAAAATTCGTTCGTAACTCGTCCAGTTTGTAAACAGTCGAGTATGAGTTCATACTTGTTTGACTAGTGAGCCTCGTGAGATAGCTCAACTCTGAAGCTCATTGAGTTCAACTAGTGAGCTGGCTCATTGAGAGCTAATGAGCTGGCTCGACAGTGTGGCTAGCAAACTAGTTCGCGACTTATGAGCGTATTAATATATATAAATTATAATGTGACTTCTTAATATATAATTCATATGTTCGTTAGATTATATATCTCATAATATATAATGGTTTAAAACTTAGAGTACATGACCAAATATGTCACATTTATAATTTGAAAGATAAATCATGTATTATAGAATTCTTAGTTACTAATTTATATTAAATAACATGATACGAATTAGTTAAACATTATGAATTAAATTATATTACACCAACATTGTATATAAACATGAGAGTACAATATGAAATTTTGACTATTATTCTTTTTCATTCACTATATGACATTCAAATATTGTAGTATTCAATTTATAAATTATTTTATGAGTATAATTTATGTGTTATAACAGGTCTAGACCAGTCAATCCATATGGGTATGCTTTGTAACGGACAAACACTTGATACATTGATTTTTTCATTAAAAATTTGACAAATAAACTATTATATGATAAGTGTAGTTATATTATTTAAGAAATTGAAATTCTCATCTAGTTATAACTTTATTATTGTTTTTATATGATGTAATAAAAGTAAAATCTTAAGTAGTTTTAGTAAAATTACAAATAATTTATCCAATAACGCGTTGAGAATGGGACAAGTCGGGACGGGTCAGGTCAAGAACAATATTCATACCTCCAAAGCACGTGAGATTGGACGGGCTAAGTTGAAATTGTTGGTGGATGTTCGTAAGGGTGGAAATTGGTGCGGGTTGGATTACCCACCCCACATTAATTACGTGGTTAACCACATACACAAAATCGTAATTATACTACATACAATCCGCACCGTAGTGGTTAGTAGGTAACCACTACCCACTACGATTTGCTGCGTGTTGGGTGTTGTTATCCGCAAAAATTCATCTTTGTGACACATGGAGATGGAGTTATGGCCGCCACCAACGAATCCACGGTTGACAACACGACTGTGTGATATATCATTTTGTTATACGTGGAGAAGCAATTTTGTAAAACTTACTCAACATGGGATTTTGTCTCTCTGATTTTGGTATTCTACCTTTGTGTCGGAGAGAGAAAGATACTGTAATTTTTGCTTTACAAAATGGAAATTAATCTTACACGACACACCTTATAAATTTGCAATTTGACATTGAACAATTCTAGCCTTTTACAAAATTAGTGATTACTCCCTTTTATCATAAACTATTAATAATAAGCATGATGGACTTAAATGTAAAGAAAATGTTGTTATACTAATGTGCTTATAGTGAATTTTGTGAGTTAACTACTATGATTAGTCACTAACCACACAAATTAAATTTTTGCTAATCACACTCAACCCACTAGCCACAAATTGTGGGTGTAGTTAACCACAATGTGTAAAGTTTGGTGCGGTTTGTAGGTTAACCAAAAAATCAACCACAAAACTTCCACCCTAGATGTTCCTACCATTTTCCCGAACGTTTTAGTGCTTCTAAGTTCTAAATTGAGAGCCACGGCTGCTGAAAGCTCAATATATATTACTTTCAAGTTTCAACAAACGCTCTCTCATCTCATTTTACTCCAAAACAACAACCAAAAACTTTACCCCCATTTCTCATCCCTGGGTTCATTTTCAATTATGCACTCGGCAGCAGAATGTCAAAAAGCCCTCTGCTTCTTCTGCATCATGAACCACCCAGACCCATTGGTTAGGAGATCCCAAGCATCTCATTTCTTCCAACAGATGCCTCTCACAGACGACAAAGACCACGTCTTGGTCCTCAGCAGCCTCCGAAACATCGCCATTGCTCAACCTGACGACCCTGAGTTCCCTTCCCTCGGCATCTTCACCTCCATGACCCGCCTCATCCAAAAGGGTATCCACCACAAGCAATGGCTTCTGAAAGACCAGAACATCTACATCCCTTACTACGCCGCCCACATCATCGGCACCTACGCCACGAGCAACCCTCAATCCGCCGGGAAAGCAGCCGAATCGGGAGCAATCCCGGCTCTGTTGGAGCTTCTAAGAGGGAAAATCAGCTGGGTCGAACAGCGCGTCGCGGCTCGAGCACTCTGCCACTTGGCTTCCCACAACGTAGCATTCCGTGCTACCATGTCAGAAACAGAGGACATCGTGGAGCTTGCCATGGAAATCGCTTCGAGCTGCCTCGGAACTGTGTACCGGCAGTTTCTGGCGACGGAAGAGAGGAATCGGTTGAAGTACCACTGCGAATTGCTGACCAGAGGGCTTGGAGGCGTCGAAACAGAGAACAGAAAGGCAGAGGAATGGGGGGTTCAGTTGCAGGAATGGTGTCTGTACCTTCTGACATGCTTCGCTGGAAAAGGGAGTGATAGATTCCTCGATCGAATCTGCGAATCGGAGTTCCTGAAGGAACTATGCGGGATGAGAGGCGGAATCGAGAGCTGCAAAGATTCCCCTGGCGGGCTCGGGTTAATCAGAGAGCTCTGCAATTTCGAAATCGGCAGAGACAGAATCAGCAATCGGAGGGAAGTAATTGAGAATTTGTGTGACGTGGCGAGATCTTCGGATTCCTGGCACGAAACAGCGATCGAGTGCGTCGTTTTACTTCTGAAAGACCCCGGAACCAGAAACAGAGTGATCGGCTTCTCTGCCGCAGCGATGGCGCAATTGGTCGAGCTTCGGCGAACAGGGGAGACGATAACGCGGGCTTTGCTGCAGGATTACCACAGGATCAAGTACGGTGAGATGAGATTGGGAAGCTTCGAAGTGGAGAAGGCGCTGGAAGAGACGTGGGAACTGAAGGTCGAGAGGAAGAAGAAAGAGAAGGTTATGAATACAGAGGAATTGAAACAGAGGGAAACAATGGCTGGTTTTTTAAAACGGGAAGGGAACGAGAGCTTCTGGCGCGGGGAAGTCGAGAAGGCGGTGTACGAGTACTCGAAAGCTCTTGAGGTCTGTCCTTTGAAGCTGAGAAGGGAGAGGATCGTGTTGTACAGCAATCGGGCTCAGTGTTGTTTGGTGATGAAGGAAGCTGAACTCGCCATTGGCGATGCGACGAGAGCTCTGTGTTTGTCGGGTGGTTCGCGGCCTCACCGTAAGAGCCTGTGGAGGAGAGCGCAGGCGTTCGATATGAAAGGGTTGAGTAGGGAGAGCTTGATGGACGGTTTGAGATTCGTTGAAGTGGGGAGGAGGAAGGACGTTGAGATCCCCTGCTTCGCGGCACGGTTGGTTAAGAAACAGATGCATGCCACGTGGCCTTTCGCGGCGGCGGTGAAGTCGGAGGTGGCGGCAGGGAAGTGCAAGAAAGTAGAACGTTTCGACCACGGCGCGGCATTCGCACGTGCCGACCCCTAATGAGGAGGAGTCAGCACAAGTAAAGTAAGTGTAACTCGGTTTCACCTGCGTGTCTCAAGCACATTTATAGATTTCTAAGGTCGAGGCAATACATTACATTTTCTTTATAAATTATTATCATATCCCTTGAATTTAGATATTTTAATTTCTCATTTAGATTTCTAGTTGTGCTATTCTCACGGAGTTAAGGCCAAACCCCGGGACCTCCGTCAGCAGTTCGGATAAATGCGAGGTGCCTCCGGAAACACAATACAGGCGGTGAGGATCGAACCTGAAATCTCTCGGTCACAAGTCCGTTTTTCTTACCACCAAGCTATGTAACCTTTGGCGGAAAGGGAAAGAGAGAGACATATACTTTTAGGGTTTAATCCCTTATGATTAAGACTGGTTATCTAATTAGAGACAAACAACCATATAAGACAGCGGATCTAAAGTCCAAACAACTCCACTTTTGGCCTACCTAATCCAGATTTCGACTGAATGATATAATACCTAACTCACTAATTGAGCTTTGCTTACTATTTCCAATTAATAACTCTAAATTAATCTCTCCATTAACCCCCCCCCCCCCCTTTCGTCATACATACCCCTAGCAAGTAGTGGTGTCAATCAGACGGGTTTCGGTTGGGTTAAATCGGGTATATCAGGTTTTGGATCAGTTGGTTTCGAGATTTTTAGATTGTGGGTTAGTCGAGTTACAGATTGATCGGGTTGAGGGACAATCGGATTGCGGATCAATTGAATTATGGGACGGGAGGGTTACGAGCATATTGGGTTGCGGGTTGCAGGTCGGTGCATTGTGTTACTTACTCTTCACTCATTACAACTTACAATAATTTAAAAAAAAATACAATTTTTAGAAAATTTATTTCTCAGTACTTATAATATTTTTTTATAGATGTAGTTATAAAAGTTTTAAAGCACAATAGTAAGACTTAACAAACCAAACTTAGCCCTCATTTCTGAAACCAAAATGCAACTCGAGCATAACTTAAATGGGCCAAACTTTTACTTCACTGTTGTAAAATAACAATCATGTAGTGCAGGAGTTGCAACAAATGTATAAGTATTAGAAAACAAGTAGACAAATTAAGTGAACTTTTCCAAAACAAATGTTTGTTGAAATTAATTGTTTATTTAGTTATTAAAGTCATAAACAATCCTAGATATACATATTTTTTAAACTTCAAATTATATAACTTAGTACCATAAAAATAGTCAAATTAGTTCACATAGCTATATAAAGTGTGGTGTTTATCATTAAATTAGTTCATATCATGGGTGCTAGATTATGTGTACTATAACATAGGCGATTAGTTCATGATAATAAGATGACTGATGATATGTTATGAAATATATTATAATCAATTAGTCCTACCCTATAAGGTTATAACAAAGTTCACTATAGACAATATCTTAGTTACTAAATGTTAAACTCTTAACTCATCGTCGATAAAGATTGTGATAATGACATTGGTAAAAAATTTAAGTATATGATCTGTAATGTTAAACCGTGTGCATTTTACATAGTTCGAGTGATGTTATTTAGATAGGATAACTCATGAAATGTTCTCAATTCTACTATATCCAATTGGGCATTGCCCTATAAGGCTATACTAAGATTTACTATATACAATATCTTAGTCAGTAAATGTTATCCTAAAACATCACATATAAACATTGTGTCAAGTACAACTTTAATGCATTCATACATAATTTGCAACAATAATCATTAATCGACTAGAACTTCAAGTCTTGAATACATCATATACATGTTGTAATTTGCAACATGAAACTATTGTTAAATTTTGAACATTTCTCTCAATGCATATGCTAAGATTCCTCTGCTAAGTGATTATCTCATACTTAGTAGGGTCGCAATAAAAGGGTTTCAAACAATAGTTACATTTTGAGGGTTCAGATCGATTCAAACAACAGTTGTGGGTAATTAGAGGTACCCAAACTTGTAGCTATAATAGCCTGTTTACAAAGAATTAGGGGTGGGAATTCGGTGGCGGTTTTGCGATGAACCGCTAACTGCACCGAAACCACACGGTTAGTGGTTAACCACAAATCGAAAAAACAGGCTACTTTGAGGTCGCGAATAGCAATAGTCCTCATCCTCGCCGTCGTCGCTCCTCCTCATCCTTTGGGAACCTCTTCCTGACGATTTCTTGAAAATAAACTTTGATGCAGCTGCTTGTGACTCTGGTTGTTTGTCTGTCCAGTTGTTCATGGGGACAGACGAACATATTGTGTTGGCAATTGAGGCCAACACTTTGGAGTCGTTGATCCCTATCTGGCAGAACTGGTTGCATCTAGAGATGCCATTTTGCTAATCGTCTCCAAGTCCCTGGCTCGGGTATTCGTAGAAAGTGATTCTGAAGTGGTTTTCAGCAGCTTCGCTAAGGAGTTTACGATGGGTTCTATAGGATGGCATGTGCTAAGAGATTGTCTTCATGTTTTTGTCTCTATGTCTTTCTGTTTAGAGTTTTGGGCGGTTCGTCAAACCGCAAATGGGGCTACCCATAGCGTGACGTGTAAAGCTATGTTATTGTCTCCTCTTGAGTTAGTTTCTTTCGACTTTGTACGTTGGTTTCACTGAGATGTTGTTTCTATCTTGTCATTACTTGAAAAAGGATAAAATCTACTATGTGAAGTAGCAACTAGCTTGTTTTACTTTGTCGTATTTATTTGTTTTGGGCGGTTCGTCAAACCGCAAATGGGGCTACCCATAGCGTGACGTGTAAAGCTCTGTTATTGTCTCCTCTTGAGTTAGTTTCTTTCGACTTTGTAGGGTGGTTTCACTGAGATGTTGCTTTGGGAGGGTTAGTGGGTAGATTTATTGTTTATCTTTCTATCTTGTCATTACTTGAAAAAAAAGATAAAAATCTACTATGTGAAGTAGCAACTAGCTTGTTTTACTTTGTCGTATTTATTTGTTTTGACAAACTCTAATTGTATAGCTCACTATATTTGACCATCGGTAAAATGACTCGGATACCAATTAAGTTTAACAATTGGTGTAAGCATACTACTTAAGTTTGAATAGGGCATCGGGTACAATTAAAGTCATTGAAATGTGTATTCGGCTAGTTTTCCATCCAAACAAAACTTTTAATTACCTTTTGGTACTCAAAACTTTTTAAAACATCCAAATCTATATTTCAACAAGTATTATCTAATATAAGAATTAGAAAACCTTCTAAACATTGTATTATTAGAATGACTAATAATTTTTTTCAATAAAATAGATAAATTAGTAAAAATAATAAATGAATATCAAGAAGGAATAATAAATATACCAAAAGATAATAATAAATATTTAAAATAAATATTAGAAATTCTATTTAAATCCTTAATTCAATTAAAAGCACCACTAAAATAGTTAAAAATATAACCTAATCGAATATCAATACATCAAGACCAAATAAGGATAAATTGAACACAATCAGAAAAAATTAAACATATTTCATTCATTGAAAAAGGTTTAGAATGAAAAGAGACGGAAAGTAACTAAATAATTAGTCAACTATAAAAGCTACAACATTCCGTAACAAATCTAGAAAAAAATATGACTATAAGAAGTGAATTAGAATTCGTGACTTTAACTAATATAAAACATCTACAATATAATATTAGAGTATTACGTGGGGATTTAACATAGAAAATTAGAAGCATCAGCATGATGTAAGAAAAATAAATATAACATACTCAGATTATTTATAGCATGATGTAAGAGAACTAAATATAACATCCTCATATTATTTATATCGAGACAAAATTCATAGAATATATTTGCTTTAGAAAATAATTTAATTATTAGAACACATAATGATAATTAAAAATATTTATAATGATAATTCGTTATAAATTTTCTATTCAAAAATTGATTTGATGAGATTCTGCAAAAGAGAATTCCAACTAAACAATAAAAAATAATATTTTTCTTAAGTCCAAAGTATTTTTTTTAGAATAAGAAAAGTAGAAGAACCAATTCTGAAATTTAGAAAATGGAATATTCAAAGAATATTATGTCAATTTTAACGAAATGCACTTAACAGTAAACTTAAGTGGTACCAAGTGCACATATAATATAGTTCAGTGGCATGCGATGCTCTATTCTTACTTAAATGGTATAGCTCTCACAATTATCATACTTTAATGGTACTCGAGATATTTTACCCTTTGGCCAAGCAATCAGTGTACCGCTATTTTACCTAGGCGCTAGGCCGACACAAGACAGGCACGCTTTGGGTCTGTTTATTCTCGTGTCGTGAATTACTAGCCCATTTTTCAAATTTGCTAGATCCGATTAGAGCCGGGGCATGGTTCGAAATGTGCAGTGCCTACTAGTGTTGGTATCGTGCTCATATTCGTTTTCAATGAAAAGGAAGAAAATAAAAGAGAGTGAAAAGGGAGAAAATTGAATGGGGAATGAAATTATTAATTGAGAAAATTAACAAAAAAGAGTAAGAAGAAAATTATAAGTATATACTATAGTGGTGTGATTTGACATCCACATGTTTTTTTTCCTTTCATCAACTATGTTATTTATCGTAATAACTACAAATAACATTTTCGATCACTAACACAAACAAATAATTATTATATAGATCATTTTTTTTTACAGAAATCTACTTTATAGATTATGTTATTTAAAGACATCATGATCAAGAAATTTAGATCAAGCACAACTCCTATATTATTCGTCCAGTGCTCTAACCGTGTCTTGTAATGCTAGCACGCCTATATTATTCGTATAGTGCTCTAAACGTGTCTTGTAATGCTAGCACGTGGTAGATCAATTAGTTGCCCACATAAAGAGCCAAATATACAATAAAATTTTATGATGTCATTTTGAACTTCAATTCGTCGGTTTGGTGACAGTCTAAACCGTATCATGACTGGTGGCGGTGTTACATATATGAGCATCATCAGACTGCCTCTTTCCTATCCTCTTCAATTCCCTAATGATTCATCAGACCACCATCAGGAAG